CCTCCTTCAGGATCTCAGGCTTCACTTCAGAGCTGCTCAGAGGCACACCTGAGGAACACACAAATTCAACCTGTTGGTACTACAAGGGAATCCAGCAAAACCAGCCAGAGCTCTCCTGTGCCAAGCTTTAAAGATTGCCCTTTAGAATACACTGTGCCTTACAGACACAGAGGCAGAGGGCACGTTCCCCCTGTAAGCTTTAGAAGATCTAAAAGGAAGAAGACTCTGAAGGATGTCTGGCTTGAGTGCAGGATATGGTGGGCAAACATCACCAGCAGCACGCTGTGTTCATCCTCAAAAGAAGAATGTGAAGCACAGCGGGGTTGCAGGCAGTGAGGATGTTACCAGGAGATGCAGTCAAATGAGTAGCACGTGGGGACCGGCTCTTGGCAGCTATTACACACAACACAAGTGGCATAACGGGAGAAAGCCATATGCAAGAATTAATCCTCTCATCACCTCCATCAAAGGCCCCAGGCTGGAACTACTGCTGCCCAGCCACGGATGCTGACGGTGCAAAATAGATCACACAGCATCTCAGAATCACTATCATTTCTAAATCATGCATAAGACTGACTTTTTGTCCAGGCTAAGAGATGTCCTTTTCTTAAGAGCACACCAACAAACTCTGACCTGAGGGTGAACAAAGCCTATGCTGCCCACGCTAGGAGGTCTGAGGGTGAGAGATAAGCTGAGGCTCTTTGCAGAAGGCCAGATCCCAGGGCTGGGGGCAATACTCTGCAAGTACGGGCAACTTTCTCAGTGCTTGGGGAGCTTTAGGGGTGCCCATGGGTCTTGACAAAGATCCCAAAAGAGCCATGCCAAGTGGAGTCATTTCGCTGTTTCTGTTTTCTCACACTTCATTTGAGCTGCACAGCCCAGCCCTTCAGGGCTCCTGGCTGCCACTGTTTCTTTGGATTTTACTTCCCAACTCCTTATGTTTTTCTCCCCACAAGCTGCACTTGTACCAATGTATATTTGTCCTTCCTGTTTTAAGGATGGTTTTTTCCCAAGAAACAGACTACACCCTCCTCAAGAAATTATCACTTCACACTCCTGCATGTAGCAAAAACTGGCAGTCCAACTTCAGAGCACAGATTCCATCTGAGATGCTGCCTCACACAGGAGTTGCACAACGTTTGGTAGCTCACAGCAGTTACATCCATTAGTCAACTTTTAATGAAGACTAACAGAAGCTGACAAAAATATCAGTGTGAGTCCTTTGTACTGAACCAAAGCAAGACTCAGATACACAACGAAGGTTAAAATGGACTGCATTCACCCAGCATGATCCCTGACACTGGAGGAGGGGACAGAGCTCTTCCTCCTAACACAGCTACAGCCATGTCCCTCGCAGGGAGTTTATTTTCATAGCAAACTTGTCTGGGCACCTTCTGTTAGAGACTGCTTGATCTGCTTAGGAGGTCATTCCTAATCTTCCAGCTTATGTAGCCTCCCCAGGGAATCTCTGCATCTTTGAACACGAAAAAGAAAAAAAAAATCTCAGGACGGACTGTTCTTTACAGGACAATGCACTGAACTTTGTGAAGCAGAATATCATGCCAGCCCATGTCATTACTAACGGGCCCAATGAAGTGGAAGGCTGCAGAAACAACTCTGCATAGCAAAATTGCAGCTATAAAACCAACAATAGTGGAGGAAAAGCTGCTAAATGCTGGCAAGAGATCTTACAGATGGAGAAAATAATGTTGAGCTGGGGAGGCTGAATAACAGAGGGACTCCTCTCCAGACAAACCTTTTGCCCAGCTACGCTGAAACGACAAGAGATGGAAAAGCTATAAACGATGGATGCTCATAAGGAGTGTGGCAAAACTGGAAAGTCTAACATTCTCCTAGCTGCAACCTCACTTCCATAAGAAAAGCCTGACATTTACTGCCTAGGCAGTACATGCAGCTACAGCTGCATATAGATATACATACAGCTACATATACATACATATACATACAGCTACAGGTAGCACCTGTAATGTACAGAAACTTCACGTCAGCACCCAAACGTGGTCCTCACAAAGGGTCCCAAACCACATTTCCTTTGCTGGTGTTGGCCACCTCTCAACCCTCACCAATAGGGCAGTTAAGATTACTTAAATTAAGATTACTTAAATTAAATCCCCATTACACCATGGGGATTCACCACCTCCACCTGCTTCCCAAGCTGCCTTTCCCTCTGCAGGACCTAAGGGAACAACACAGTCTCTCCAGCACACTGTGCTGGAAGTGAAAATGTTTTTGAAGTTGTGCCACTGGCTTCTGGGCACACAATACAGCAGTGAGTACATCTGACTTGACCACTGTCATGCCGCTGCAAGCAGAGCCCAGTTCTGGCACTACAAATACAAAAGCAAAGGATGTGACACTAGAAGAGCCACTGGAATTGGATTTGGCAGCTCCTGTGAACACCACAGGATACACCTCAGTACTTGCCTTGTCCACAGGTGCTGGTTTTGCAGATGCTGCTGAGCGCACATCTGCCACAAAAGGTTGGCCTGAGGGAGTTATTTTTGGGTGATGGACAGATACTGAAAGCTGTCAGGGGCTGATGATGGCTGATGACACACGCATGCATGGTTCTTATTCACACAAAGGACAGCCATGAAGGATATACTGAACATGTTTTGGAGAAATAGGTGTTAGAAACATGTACTGAACAGAGTGTTCTAATACACCAGCTATAACCTCCCTGAGGTTATATTACCTGTTTTATCATATTATCTCCCTGATAAAACATAAATACTTTTAACCTGAGGGATTAACCTAGAGTCCTACTGGGACTTTTTTAAGGAACTGAGCACATTCCAACCGTGGCCTGCTTTGACAATTACAAGCTAAGCAAATCAAACGTGCAGCTCAGGAAACAAACATAGCTCTCCTGGCCCACAGCCACCCACCTGCTGATCAGAAGCAGACCAGAACAGACATGTCAGCCACACACTGTTGTTTCACTGCTAATGTACGCCAACAAATGCCTCAGTATTCAGAGAAGGTGAGATGCTACATCAGTGGAGAGTGTATCTGAACAGTGACAAAGGTGCTAATTAAAAGGCAAGCAGGATCTCTTCAACACTCCGACATCCATCTGCCCATCTCTGAGCACAGCAAAACCTTCCCCTTTGCTCACATTCCTGTTGCAGCTTAGATAGAGGAGCACTCAACTCCAGTGAGCTCCTCTCACAAGTCAAGGAGACCCACATGCCAACCAGGTGCCAAAGCTTGCTCTGAAACTCTGCAGCACGCTGAGGATTTCTGCACTCACCACAAACAGCTTCTTCCCTTTTGTATTTGCAGTATTTCCCCCTGCTTGTTTTCATTTCTGTCTTTCTTCCATCACTGACCTTTCATATCACGTACTTGCTACTCTGCACTGCTGCTTCCTTTCCTTCCCATCCAGCTGGATGAGACAGCTGTCTCCTGCTTCCTGCCACCCAAAGAGAACGGACGTTTGTTGGAAGAGCAGAATTGAGGCACCTCAGAAGACACCAGGCCTGAGGAGCACAGCTCCCAAAGTAAAGGAGATGCCATACAATAGCTCCGTCACTCATCTGGATACGCTTACAGGATTAGAAATGCTAAAAACTGACAGAGGATGCTACGACACCACTTCTTTATAAAAGGGTTCTCAGAAAAGCATGTCAGACATCAAAACTCCTTACAGTCAACAGCAGCATGAATGCAGAGCTAGTGCTAACAAGTTTCCATCAAAGGCAGTTCCAGGAGGCATCTAGAGAAGAACCTCTTCAGCACTGCATGTCTAAGGTTTCTGAAGCAATTACCCTGAGCTTGCAGTCTGGCAGGCTGCTTTATCACAGCTCCATCTCTTTTCCTGCGATCATTAAGGGCACGGAGCAGGAGTGCAGTAATTGGTCCTCAGCTCTCAGCACACCCAGTACTCAGCACCCTGGAACAGAAACCTGAGGACCTCCCCTGCCCCCAGCAACTGTGCTGTATTTAAGCAGAGATAAGGCAGGATGGCTTCAATCCCAATGGTCCAACAGGACTTGCTGGGATGCCAGAATAGCCCAGCACAATCTTACTGTGTACAATGTTCCGTCAGGACTCCCTCAGTAAATTCGCAGATGACACCAAATTGGCTGGAAGTGTGGATCTGCCTGGGGGTAGCGAGGCCCTCCAGAGGGATCTGGACAGGCTGGAGAGCTGGGCTGGAGCCAATGGGATGAGTTTCAACAAGGCCAAATGACGGGTCCTGCACTTCGGCCACAACAACCCCAGGCGACGCTACAGGCTTGGGGCGGTGTGGCTGGAGGACTGCGTGGAGGAAATGGACCTGGGGGTATTGATTGATGCTCCGCTGAACATGAGCCGACAGTGTGCCCAGGTGGCCAAGAAGGCCAATGGCATCCTGGCTTGCATCAGAAACAGTGTTGCAAGCAGGAGCAGAGAGGTGATTGTTCCCCTATATTCAGCACTCGTGAGGCCGCACCTCGAGTACTGTGTCCAGGTTTGGGCCCCTCACTGCAAGAAAGATATTGAGGCCCTGGAACGTGTTCAAAGAAGGGCAACAAAGCTGGTGAGGGGTCTGGAACACAGGCCATATGAGGAGAGGCTGAAGGAGCTGGGAATGTTCAGCCTGGAGAAGAGGAGGCTCAGGGGAGACCT